TTGGTCGATGAATCTACCACTATTAGTGGTAAAACGGTGCTTGTTGTGTGTCTACGCTCAGCATTAGCTGATGCTGAGCCCGAAACGTTTTTTTGGGAGCTGATCGAGTTGGATGGAACAACGGCTGATGACATCACAAAGGCGTTAATGGAGTGTCTTGGAAGAGATTTTAACGAGGACTTTTTAGGTCAGTGTTTCGTTTCTTTTGCATGTGATGGGGCTTCAGTCATGCTAGGGAAGAGAACAGGCGTTGCTACCCAGTTGTGTAGTAAATTCCCAAGCCTGTTTGTGTGGCACTGCTCCAATCATCGTCTAGAGCTGGCAGTTGGGGATGTGGTCAAGGAGGTCTCAGGGCTCAATCATTTCCAGATCTTTTTTGACAAACTCTATTCCTTGTTCCATGCCTCCCCCAAAAATCAGAGGCAGTTAGCGCAGTGTGCGCAAGCAGTCGGACAGCGTCTCCTGGTGATAGGGCGTGTTTTGTCCATCCGCTGGGTGGCTTCAAGTGAAAGGAGCGTCAGAGCAGTCTGGGAAAACTACCGAGTGCTTCATGATCACTTCACAAATGCTGCAAACGACACGAGCAGGGATTCCAGAGACAGAGCAAAGTACAAGGGCCTGGATGATGTGCTCACATCTGCAACGTTTGTCAGCAATCTGGGACTGATGTACGATGCGCTCACAGAGCTCAGCGACCTCTCTCGGCAACTCCGAAAAAGAGAGATGACACTGCCTACAGCAGATAGGCTCTTAACTCGAGAAATACGAGTTTTTGAATCCATGGTCACCATGCCTGGCCCACACATGACTACAGTTCATACAGCTCTAGCTGAGAAGTCCTTCAAGGGTGTTGCCCTGCGTGAGAATGGCAGGCTTGTACAGATTCATGCAGGTCAGTTTTTCCGCAGTATGGTAGAGAATCTGAGACACAGAATGACTTCCACAACCTCCTCTCATGTCAGCACAAGAGAAATCCCATTACATGGCCGGGAGGCCCGGGACAATCAGCTAATCCAGGACATGAAAGTTATCCATCCTGGAAGTTGGCCTGAAGAGGAGTTAGACGTACAGTATGGGGACGTAGAGGTGCTACGTTTGTGCGAAGTGCTGAAAGTGGACAGAAGAGAGACTGTTCAGGGCTTTCGCGAATACAAGGAAACCAGGGCATCCCGTACACCTGCTGCCATGGCGCCTCTACTGAAAGCAGTCCGAACCATCGCTGTCTCCACTAGTGAGTGTGAGCGGGCATTCAGCTGCATGAACGATATCCTTACTGCAAAAAGGAATGCTCTCTCTGTCAGCCGACTGTCCAGCCTGGTTTTCATTAAATGTAATGGACCATCACTAGGACAGTTCAATCCGGAACAGTATGTGAGGTCCTGGCTGGCAAAGGGAAGGAGAAGTGCTGATGAAAGAGCCTGTCCAGCTCCAGCCCCTGATACTGATGTCCCCAAGGCCTTCTGGAGCCTTTTCTAACAATGTGAAGTATATTGCAAAGCAGCTCACCCAGTGAGAAGACTTTTGGCATAATGTGCCGATTTGTACAGATCCTGGAGATAGAAGGACTTCAGACCAACCAGGGAGTTATCTGATCAGCTTGGTGTTCAATGTAACTCTTTACCATGGCTCAGACTTTGTTACTTGCAGTTACAGTTTCTCATTTTAGATTGTGCAAATTTTGCATTTGTTTTTACATGTTCTTTGTTCATGCTCTTTATCATTTTTCTGAGTTGGAAAGTTAGATTGCATCATAGTTTACTTTATACATATTTGTATTCTTCAGTGGTGAAGTATATTGCAAAGCAGCTCAGCCATGTGAGAAGACTTTTGGCACTTTTTCGTTTTTCGTTTTCTGAGTTGGAAAGTTAGATTGCATTCAAAATGTACAGAAATACTTAATTTTGTTAAAGCTTTTTATAAAAAATGCTTCTGACCAGAGCTTTGTTTCCTTGTCATTAATGTTGAACACCACCAGAGGGGCTCTCACCTGAAAGGTCTCTGCTTCATGTGTCTTCAGCAGAAGATCTAGACTTTGATTGCTATATTTTCAGTTAATATTGACCTTACTGGGCTTTAGCCATATCCGCTGCCTATCATAAAAAATGTTAAGTACAGTGAACCTTTCTAAAATATACAGTAGTAAAGAGACAAACCCACCAGCATTATAGTAGCCAAATTCTTGTTTGTGGGCTGTATATATAAAATTGACTTGAAAAAGTTGCTGATTTTAGAGTACTGGCACCTTTTTCATTCCAATTCAAGCACTGGATTGAATGCTCTCTCAGGTTCTTAAACTTGTTCTTTCATCTTTCTTAAAAAAAAAAGGAAGTAATGGTCAAGGAAACCAAAGCCAAAAAAGGGTGGATTTAGCTATTTACTTGTTGTAATATTTAATGGAACCGTTTTAGAACAATAAAAGCTTGCTCTGAAAGTGATAATAGAAGATAATACCACTCTCATCTGTTCGTAAAATGTAAAGAGTCAGGAGACATTAGTTTAGCTTACCATAAAAGCTGAAAGCATGAAGACACAGCTGGCTCTGTCCAACATATTTGAAAGAAATGTGATTACCAGCACCTCCAAAGCTCATTATTTGAAACGTTATATCTTGTTGTTAACATTACAAAATGATGTTATTTTTTTCGACAGAATTTAGTTAGAAGTGTTGAGCTGACGCTGCAGAGAAACTGCAAAAATGAACTAATTGAATAAATGCGAATAATACAGATCATTTCAATAATCTTTTAATCTTCAATGGGGGGGGGGGGGGCTCATTGAGTCACGACCTCTTGATGTTTGCTGTTGTCAAACCACAGGACAGAAACAGTCTCAATTATGAGATTGTCTTTTATAAGACCAGGCCTGCTGTCCTGTTGGATCTTCTGCTGCCAGCACAGAGGTCGTATATTACTTCCTGCATTAATGGGATGGAACACCAGGGTCAAATGGAGTGGGCCCCGCGGGGACATCATGATTAGATGATACACAGATGGCACCTAATATAGGGGGAACGAACATCTGCCTGTGTGTGTGGGGTTTGAAATCTGGCTTCATCTGAGCCTTTCATGGCTACAAGTATTTCAGGCAAGTTTTGATCCTCTGCTGTGTGCGGATGTTTTACCTGCTTCAGTGGGAAGCTGTCTATTATCATTGGACACTCGTTCCTTTTATTCCAAAACAGCTTTGTCTAATTGTTTAGATGCATTTCCTCTAAGGATAACTTCCATTCATTTTGGGAGTATAAAGTGGTGCAGCACTTACATATTTTTGTAGGTTGACAGAAATTAGCTTTGCAAGCGATCCCTTGACAAAAAGTGAATGGATTTTCCATTAGATTTCAGAATATTGCAGATAAAAAAGAATCTGTGGCAAACACACGTTTATTATACTCACACATTTTGTTCTTCAGAAACACTTCCACATATTAACACCACTTTATGATTTTTGATGCGTAAATGCAATGCCAAATGCTAACGTTAGGCTACAAACAAACTATGTCACCACCGCTAAGCTAAAGGCGGCTAATGTTTGGCATCACGTTTAGTAGTCTCATTATGTCACTTGTTAGCAACTGCTGTATGTACAACATATAACATCTTTGGACAATTACAAGTGGGGTATTTACTAGGGATGGGAATTTGAAAGCAAATGTATATTGGAATATTCAACCACCAAAAAAACTGTTAACCAATTAACCGAAATGTACATATCCTATTAAAAAAAAAAAAAAAAATGGGGGGAAAATGTTGACGAAAATAAATAAATACATGTTCAAATAAGTATAGAAACCAAGTGGAATTTGTCAAATGTATTGACCTGGTGATCACAGTTTGAACAGTTGACAGCTATAGCCTACAGCTTTCATGCTTAAAATATAACTTAGTTTTTAAATGAAAAAGCGATCATACACGAACAACATAACGGGTTAGGGTAACGTAACCCTATTACAACAGAGATCAACAACCTATAACAGGGCCTATGCACAGAATGCAGCTATTCAATACTCATTCTTGTTTAAGAATATGAGCATGTCTACTCAGGGGAGAGGCGGTTCACAATCAGGCCAGCTGTAGAGAAGACCGGTATGTGGGCATAAGATGAGGTTTGAGTCTGCGTGATCTGCGACGAGTAGGGAGGGGCAGCAGCCATATCATTAGCTAGAACTAGCTAGATCTGATGGATTTGGACATAAACGCGAGTGAAGTATAACCGGATGCGAGAGAGGGAGATCAGCACCTGCAGCTCTGCCTGCTGTGAGGGACCGGTGAGCGGAGCAACACACACCTTTATACACTTAGCTATGGCACTGTCGTATACATTGAATTATTCCATTTGATCATATGTAATCAACTTAGGCACCCCTCCCAAAAAACAAAATTACAATAAAAATATTCACAACTCATATTCTCATATTTGAACACCTGAATAATTTCGAATATTCGATTAATCGTTCCCATCCCTAGTATTTACTGACATATTTCATGTTGTATAGCAAAACCTTAACATTTCTTCATCTTGTTTTGACCACAGACCTTATTTCATTAATCTCAAGATGAGGGAACCTCAAGTAGTAAAATACTAGCTAAGTTTCGGCTTTTAGGACTCATTCCTATCAAGGCATCTTTATTTTAAATATTGCCCAACCTAGGACAAGTCTCCCCTTCAAATGAAGGAGACTCAGACTATTCATCAGCAAATCTGTATCGATTAAAGAGACGCAGCTGTTTCCCCGATGTTGACTCATCCCTGCCTGTCCTTCACAGAACAAACGTTATCTGCCCTTTCCTGTGACCGTCTCCTGTCTCTGCTCTTCCGGTCTGCTTTCTTTATCTTTTCGATGAGTTACTCATGTAATTTTGTCCTTCATTCTGAATACATGGCACAGGTATAAGAATGTGTGTAACAAGGGAGAGCCCTCACGTCTCCACCCTACCTTAGCAGCAAGCTAATTATTGATGGTTTAATGTGTCTTCTCAGGGAAATGTCAAAGTTCAGTGTGGGTGTGTGTGTGTGGAAAAGGCGTTCTGGATTGAAGGATGTGTCATGGTTGCCGTGGAGCAGCGACACGGTTTCACTCAGTTTCAGGTGACAGTTCTCCTGAAGGCTGTCAGAAATTGAGGCTGTTGACTGAAGACTGAGCGGCCGCAGAGAGGACAGACGAGGTTCAGTAATCTGCTCTGATCATTATGTCTATTTTAATACCTCATTGCTGTATTTTTGGAGCTGTGTCATTGTGAGCTTTTTTCCTGTTTGATGAAGAATTGAATGAATGGGTTATTTGTATTTAAGGATTGTTTTAAAAGGGTCATGGACAGAACGATCAGAGATTGTCATCTTAGATTAAGTTCATTTGGACGTCGATCTTTGCCTTGTCTAATTGAAAGTATAGTCTTTAAAAGAATACTCAACTGATAAAGCATGGTGTTAGACTTAATCATAAAAATATATGTAACAAAACATGAGATATTGTCTTTTCCTCCCTTCTTCCTAGTCAAAACCTTACCCACAATGCCACTTGACCACTGACATTTCCAATGGAGGCATGATTGTGTTCTGCTAAAAATAAAACCTTTGTAAAGGTATTTTAGTCTGCTGGTGTGCAGAACTTCTGTATTATTAATGATACATTCATATTGCAGAAAATCAGGAATGAGTTTCACTTATTCTGCCGTCTGGTTGCCAACGTTTTGACAAATCATTTTGGCTGCCATACATTATATATATTATATATTTCAACACAAATTATAGGCTCTTCTTGCCCTTTTGAATAATGGTATTTCCCATCTTCTGAGTTTACTTTTTTATTCGCAAAGCTACACATTCTTTCCCCTAGAATTGCACAACAACTGCAATCTTTTTACTGCTGGTTATTGAGCAACAGCTCGAACAGCTGAGGGTTAAAAGCCTTTTTTACAGAGGCTTCCTCAAAACATTAACAGCTGTTGAGGGAGGGATACAGATTATCTTTCCTCCTTTTCATTTGTATTTACCTGCAGAGATGTCAACTGAGAAGCCGGGGTGTATTGTTTATCAGGGACTCTCAGTGGTGATATTAAATAAGAGAGGAGTGTATTTTTATTACATTTTATTGCATTCCAACTGAACTCACACACTGATCTGGGCTTAGTTTGCACTACACTAAATAGTTTTATATTGTTTCCGGTGTGACCTTCATTTAGTTTTCTAACATTCAATGTGTAAAACACGTCACACAGACAGGTCTTGTTCAATGCAGCCATCTTGCATTCATCTCTGTTTTATAATCTAATTGTCTTGACAGTGATTTGAGATTACATCAAACCTTTAAGAGTTTCTCCACGTGAGCCATGTTGGTCATCTCCTTTATCTGTTTACAGCTGCGTGAAATATTGATGAATGGGTTTCTAAATATAGAACAGGAATGTGATGAGGGCAGCAGCAGCAGCGTAGTTTGTCCGGAGGGAAAGACAAAGTGCTGCATTTGAATAATGTGGCCAAAGATCTCACCGAGCTGGACGTGTCTGTGCTTGGAGGGCAGTGAGGGCACTGTGTGTGTGTGTGTGTGTGTGTGTGTGTGTGTGTGTGTGTGTGTGTGTGTGTGTGTGTGTGTGTGTGTGTGTGTGTGTGTGTGTGTGTGTGTGTGTGTGTGTGTGTGTGTGTGTGTGTGTGTGTGTGTGTGTGTGTGTGTGTGTGTGTGTGTGTGTGTGTGTGTGTGTGTGTGTGTGTGTGTGTGTGTGTGTGTGTGTGTGTGTGTGTGTGTGTGTGTGTGTGTGTGTGTGTGTGTGTGTGTGTGTGTGTGTGTGTGTGTGTGTGTGTGTGTGTGTGTGTGTGTGTGTGTGTGTGTGTGTGTGTGTGTGTGTGTGTGTGTGTGTGGTGTGTGTGTGTGTGTGTGTGTGTGTGTGTGTGTGTGTGCTGTGTGTGTGTGTGTGTGTGTGCTGTGTGTGTGTGTGTGTGTGTGTAGTGTGTACTATACTTGTGGGGACATCTGTTTACATAGTCACGTGTTGGGACTAGGGACAAATTGGAAGTCCCCATGAGGGGAATCATTCATTTTAGGGTGAAGACTTGGTTTAAAACTGTTCAGACTGACAGGCTGCATAACATTCAATGATCTGCTTGCTTTTCCTTGAAGGGTCATCTCACGTTTAGATATTCTTTGGAAAATATTAGCTGTCTTTCTTATGTATTGTGGTCCTGTTGCCTTTGTCTCACATTCAGTGTGATGGATGAACTGAAGTGGAGTGCACTGTTTTGTTATTTTGAGGTGTTTTTTTAATGCAAACTTAGTTAACTTATAGACATTCACATTTGAGCATGTTAGCATTTAGCTCAAGGATACTGCTAGCTGCTGAAGTGCTCCCACACAGATCTGCTAGCATTGCTATGGACTTTTAGTCTCATTAATAAACCCATATTTGTCATGTGTGATAGTCTTCTTTCTTATTCTATGTTCTGCTTTTGGACTTCATATCAGATTTTGACCAGTGTCGCCCCCTCTTCTCTCTGCTGTCGTCGAGGTCTGATTCATGGTGACAGTCGGGTCATCACACAGTGACTTTGTGTCCTTCTGGTTGGCAGGGGGATCAAAGACTCTGATGTCTCCCTCTCTTGTTCTCCTGGATTTGAAAGGCACAGGATGTCTTTGATAACGTCTCGTTTAAAAATAATGGTGCCATAGAAAGGGGCAGGGAAATATGAACTACTTTATCTATGCTAAGTTGTTTCATTTGTGATCTTTTTCAATTGACTGTGTTTGCTTTTCACCTTTTCAAACAGCTGAAATGTTTCAGAGTCTTTATGACAAGTTGTCTAATAATTAATCATTTTATGGCTGCCATGTCAACAGCACAGACCTGCTCTCTGGACTTCAGGCACATTCAGAACAGCTTACGTATATCTACCCCAGGATCTCCTCCACCCTCCTAATGCTCTGCTTCATATTCTCATAATCTCCTGTTGGCTAGCCCCCACCCTGCCTGTGTTACACTGGACTTGAAAATGGAGCCTTTTATATTATCTGGATCACTGGACCAAAATATGGAAATGTTCTATCATTTCCCCTTCTACAGCCATTTTAGACTGCTCTTATTTTCTTCACAGAATATGTCCAAACTGAGTTAAACCAAGCGAAAACTAACTTGAATTTTTTCTAAAATGTATCTTTTCTAGAGTCTGTTACCAGTGTTTACATCTGAACACTGAAGCTAACTGAGCTTTTTGTAAAACAATGTGGTAAGCTGAGGACCTGTGTGGCAGTGAATTAGGCTGCAATGTATTTCATTAGTTTCATTGTTCATTCATCTGTCAGACTGTCACCTATATTGTTGATTAATAAATTAGCTGTTTAGTCTAGAAAATGTCAGCAAATGATGGGAAATGCTGATTAACGCCAATGCCCAACATGACGTCCCTGAACTTCAAGAGTTTCAGTTGACTGTCATAAAGAAATTCCGAAATCTACACCCTTCAGCCATGAAGTGCCTCCGTAATAATGCTGACAAAAAAGAAAATGTCCTCCTTAGTAACGAACGATACCCAATATGTTCTGTTAATAGACATTCACATGTCACCAGCACCAGTTTGACCAAAGGCTGCACACCTCACATCCACACACTACAGCATCCACAGTGTTCATCTCCTCCACCCCTCCCCTTTCTCTCCCTCTCTCTTGCTCTCTGCTCTGCTGCTCTGCCTCAGCCATTCAGGCAAAGCAACACAGGATTATCCCTCACTCTTGCGAGAATCACACCCACACCCACCACACACACACACACACACACACACACACACACACACACACACACACACACACACACGCAGTTCCTGAACAGTGTTTCCGGGCAGAAAGATCTCACATCACAGATTAGTGCTCCTCTTCTCCCGCTCTGCACGCTGATGCTCCGTGGCACAGCCAGTCAGAAAGGCACAAATATAAGCAAACAGGAGGGGGAGAAGAGGAGGAGAGGGTCTGCCTGCTGGAGGAGCCCACGTGTCTCTTAGCTGTAGCCTTAGCCGCTGTTAATGGAGGACTGGGGGTAAGCTTTTGTTGCGGGGGGCTCCCTCTCTCTGGGTGTGTGGACGCTCTTTGTTTTGGTGCTGGGCTCTCTTGACGTCTTGATGCTACTGGCTCTGTCTGTGTGCTGTATGGCTGCTTGAGAGGGATGGGGATTCCCAGTGATGTCTCATGGTTTGCTTGTGAGGATGTTGATCTTTGGACTGCAGTATGTATTGATGAAAGAGGAGAAGAAGAGGGAAGCAGGAAGCAATCTGATGGTGACTAAACCTTGGAGGGTGTTGCCAATGTTTGTGTGTGGTATTGTTTGTCTGGGTAAATTGAACAACTAGTGCACTCCTAGATAAACAATCAGATTTGTGAAACATGTGTGTGTCTGTTCCATGTTAACAAAGTGGAAGGAGTCTGTGGCTGTTTTTTCTGACACTACGATCTGACTATCTGCGAGACAAGCAAAGGGCTAGCATGAACAATAGCCCCCCTCTCGACTTGTAGCTAATGGATTAACCAACCATGATAAACACTCATGCCATGCTTCACGCTGCATCCCACCGAGGCGTTTGTTTTGCTCAAAGCTTTTGGGTTTGACCCCCGTGGAATTTGCTCTCAGTTATCTAGATTTTGGAGTTTCCTTCTCCTCCCTCTCACATTTCATCCTCCTTCATTGTCAAGTGTGGCTCCATCCATCGGTACAAGGTTGACCCAAATATCGATGCTGCTTCCACCCCTCCCCCTGATCTGCTATCGAAAAAGATCACACCATCTTCTAGTTCACATATTTCTTCATTGGCAGATTTTGCTTTGTTTTTTTCTTTTTCTTTCATTATAAGACAAATACCTAACCGTCGATTTCTAATCAGCTGGTGGTGTCAGGTCAGAGTAAAGACATGAATATAGGCGTTATAAGAAATGCTGTCCTGGAACTGTACCTTGGGGTTTCATAAACTTTTGAGACAAAGACAAGTTGTGATTTGAGCAGTATTTGCAAGCAAATGTTATCCGATTTGATTGCATAAATTACAGGCATAGAATATTGGTCTTGAAGTTTGAAAGGATCATTCATTTGGGTTGAATATATATGCTACAGCTGGTAGTCGGTCAGCTTAGCTTAGGTTAAAAACTGGACAAAGCGTTATAATTTGTTTACATTTAGGAGAAGTTATTCAGACACATCAACCTGCGTAAAACTACAACTTGGTTTTATGAACGTTAGGCAGATTTTTCTCTACTTTTGAACCAGGCATCTTTTTTCAGCCTTTGTGCTATACGCTAAGCTATCTCGCTGCTAGCTGTGGCTTCATATTGATTGTACAGACAAGCAAATGGTTTCAATGTTGTTATCTAACGGCCCCTACACACGGCGGCGTGCGTGTCTGAAGCTAGACCAACAACCAATCACCTGAATCTCCCGCCCCGGACACACAAGCAGCGGTTTGATTGGCTAGAGCTTGTACTGGCATATGATTCGATTGGCTGACGCTTCCGTCGAAGCGTCAAAAGTAGAACATTGCTCTACTTTTGCAGCGAGCACCACGAGAAAAGCTACGTTTTGCTCCCACAATGCAGTTTGGCGAGGCGTGACGTCACCCCATTCAAAGTGAATGGACAGAAGCGCTGAAGCGGCAACGCACGCCGCCATGTGTAGGGGCCGTAACTAGGAAATAACATGAGCATTTTTACAGAATCGCCAAATGTCTCTATCAAATGCAAATCCTGTCATCCACTCAGAGATTAGATGACTCATTCTCAGCATTTAGAAAATGGCCTCTCGTATCTTGACCGATTCATAATTACAACATCACAGAACCAGAAACCCTTATCAGATGCTGTTACAGTATCACCTGGTTATTGATATTTGTATTCCCATGGAGGCTCGGTGAAACTCGTCTGTAGCTACAGACATTTCACTGTGCGGATAACAGCATTGTCAAATAACTCTTCCTGTTGATCTTATCATCTCATATTTCTCATCCAGTTCATTTGCATCCTCACTTTGCATTCTATCTTGGTCTGCTGTTCTGTTTGTTGGTGCGTGTGTGTATTTGGAGCTCCTGCCCCCCTTGCATACATATCCTACTTCCTATTCTGTGTAATGCATCTTGCATTCTGGGTGGGGTATCACTTCTTTGATTTATCCAAAAGGAAACAAAATCTCCATTATTTTGTAATAAAAGAAGTCAAGTTGAAATTGAGGATTGTCTAAAGAATATGGAGAGCCCTTGTGCAGGTGGGAAGCTCTGATATCCAAGACTTCAAATCTAGTATTTTTCACATTGGGCCTTCTTCTCATTAGAACTATGGGTCATGCTAACCTTCAACACCTTTGTTGTCAAGATACAGGAAACACAGATTCCTGCTAAAAAACACATATATTTGAGGAAAGATATCTGGTGTCTTCCAAAGAAGATCCCTGTGCAGATATATGCAACACACAAAAGGAAACAATAACAAAAAAGAATGATAGTAGCATACTAGCATTTCAAAATTAAGTTTTCTTCTATATCCCCTTAAAAAAAAAAAAAAAAAAAGTTTAGCCTTTTTTATTGCTTATGTTATTTTGTTTTATATACCAAAAAGAGTTTATCAGTCATTTTAGACAACGATAATATATTACATTACATTACATGTTACTTGTTAGATGCTTTTATCCAAAGCGACTTACATACTCAATACTGTGGACAATCCCCACAGGAGCAATTTGGGGTGAAGTGTCTTGCCCAGGGACACAACGACATGCTGCGGGGTTTGAACCTGAATCCACTACGCCACACGCCATATATCATAAAAATAACGAGGTTCGATGTGATTCGGCTTTTATGAAGCCTTAACAACTCGTTGCCTGTGGCTAACTGTGTCTTACTTAGAGCCCAGCATGATTTCAGCGCGCTGTGTGAATGTGTGTAAAACAACATAATCGAAATAAAACAATTACTATTATTATTTTATTTATTTTTTATTTAAAAAAAAAAAAAAAAAAATAGTTTTTTCAGTTGAATTATACTTAAAGTTCAGGGTAATCAACTGTTCAAAACATACTGTCTACTAACCCTTTTTTCAATAAATGGATGTTTTCAAAGTAAATGGATAATCGTTTTTAATAATCGAGATATCAATTATTGACCCAAATAATCGAGATTATGATTTTTGCCATAATCGAGCAGCCCTAACCTGAACATGTGGAGGTGAGGCGCGCTCTGAGGAGGCTGCAGCAGCATCAGGATAATGTTCAGTCTGTGGCCGTTTCTCAACCGCGAGTAAAACTGCTGCAGAGCAACTATTTCAAGTATACTACGTCTTGTTTAAATGCATGTTAAATGCCCAGCATTCTGCGCCACTCTGACGTAGTATACTTGAAATAGTTGCTGCAGCAGGTATACTCGCGATTGAGAAACGGCCTGTGTCTTCACTCATGCTGACAGTCTGCAGTCATTGAAACGTCATTAGTCATAGATCACTGCACCTTTATTCTGTGTTATGGCTTTTCTTATTATAATCAGTGTATAAAGACACTAACATGGACAGAATTTGAGAAACTCGGCCTCTGAGACCAAAGCTTAGGTTACTTAGTGGTCATTTGTGTCTCTCTGTTGTTGTTATGCATTTTAGTTGTGTTTTTTTGCATCTAATTGTGCATCTTCTGTAGTTATGTAGCATCTATTTGCAGTTTTTGTGGTAATTTTGCTGATTTTTTTGTGGCTTTTTTTGTTTTTTTTGCATTTCATTTAGCATATCTGTGATTTTTGTGTGTGTCTTGGTTCTTGTTGGACCGACCTTTCCAACAAGAACCCCATGGACCCTTGTGTCCGCTCCCAGTAGGATTGATACATAGATCCCCCTCTCATGTTGTGCTCTTAATTGTAAATATCACATGCAATCTTTAACATGCGTTATTTGATCAGTTATTACTTTAAGTTCTGGAGCAGCATCATTTGGTCCAGTGAGGCCTTTGGACAATGTTAGTTGATTTAAATGAGGGAAGATTATTTTGCAATTAGGTTTCAGAGTTCTTAAAGAAACCACTGATAGTCATTAGCCAGTCATTACATGTATTGACAAGTCATCTCAGGAAAGTAGAGGAACAGGGTATGAGGGTAATTGTAGTTGTTTAAGTCCCTAACTGATATCAGTGTGGAAAGTATTGCGTAGATTAAAATGCGCAGGTGATGAGCTTTTAATAAACACAGATAGTAATCAATGATTTGTCACCTTTAGATTGGACTCTGTACAAAGGTGCATTATCTCATTCAGCTGTGTTATCTGCAGTATCTGTTTGCAAAGTTGTAAATGTCAACAGTTTGATTGACACGACAGAAATTCAGTCAATCAAATATACTTATCTGTTTATTGAAAGTTATTGGGCTTTTAGATTGCTGTTCATATACAAATAGCAATTTGAAGAGGTAATCTGTGGTTTACGAGTATTATAAGGGGCATTTATTTTTAATGAATGATCCACAAGCTGAAACCATTTATGGATTAGTTGATGTGTTCCTTGAAATAAATGAATAATTGATTGATGGTTTGAGTCCATGTTTCCTATTAAACATACCAGAGAATCCTTCGTTCCAGCTCCATTTTGAGAAGGTTTTGCTCGCACATATTTAACCATTGTAAATCAAATACCCTTCTGTTTGACGGACGATTTAGCGATTTAAAGACGTCTTTTGCTCTAGGAGTTTGTGACATGCATTTAAAAAAACGTTTGGACATTTTACAGGCATCGTAAAACAATCGCACATAATTGAAACAATCTTTTATTGTCAGCCTAAGACTTTATTTCATAGACTGGCTTCCAACCTGCATCCATTTAATCCGGGCCATGAATATGTAATTCCTCTGTCAGCGACCATCGTCACACTCTCTTTTGTTCTTTGTTATAAAGCTGCGTGGATAGTAATCTTTCATGTGTGCTGCCCTTTTTTTCTTCATTACATAATCATTTTCGCTCCACTTTGACATCCACGACACAACGTTAGTGAGTATTAAAAGAGCCTGAACAATATAGATTCATTCTATGGTGTTGTGATCACATAAACTGCAAGAATAAGCGTTTAATCGTAACGTTTTTTAAATGTAATTATCACATCCATAAAATATTAGAGAAAAATAGAAATATAAATGTACAAAAGACACATCCAGTACCAGTGACATTATTAATTGAATGGAGCCAGAGCCACATTATGTAGCATCAGTCTTTGGAGCTCATAACCATATTTATCATTAACACCCTCTGTGCTCGTTCTCCCTCACAGTGCATGAGGAGCGTAACTCTGCAGAGCCACACCGCCTGAAGCCATCCTGCCAAATCTGGAGACCATGTCTGGAGCCTACGACGAGTCCGCCAGCCTGGAGGAGACCACGGATAGTTTCTGGGAGGTGAGACAGCGTGGAACAGTCTCTGACAGATTAAACTTAAGTGGGAACTGACACTGCGTGCTTAGTGATGAGCTCTCACCGAACCTGGGAGGGGAGAGGAAACATCTCATTCATCAACTGCCACAAGTCACAGAGGCACACATAAACACTCAATTCAACACATCTACAAATAATATATCAATAGTGATCGATCACTTGGTGATTTCTGAGCCAGCACAGATCTGTTGCGGTTTTCATAATAATGACAACACTTTTAGTGCAATTATTGCATAATGAGTGACCGAGCATGCTAAATCCTCTGTTATGCAGCTGAGAATAAGAGCAACAAGGGTGGAATATATATTTTTTATGGAGAAAACCTACCTTAAATCAATCAAAGGGCAGTTTTTCGACCTTTGCACCCTATTATTTCTGACGCTTAGTGGAACAATTAAAACCTTTACAACAAACAAACCAGCAAGAGCTCTGATGATAATAGGGCTGCAAAAAAGCATCATTTTTAATATTGAATAATTTCAGTGTTTTCTTAATGAATCGATTATGCAGTCGTAAAATATAGAAAACTCGTTCCTAAAGTCTCTTAATATATAATAATAAGCCCAAAATATCCAGATTATAGTCACATTTTACAAACAAAAGCAGCAACGGAGAAGCTGGGGCTGAAGTTGACATGTTTGCTTTTATAATAACTGATACTTTATTGATATGGTGGCAGATTATTAATAATTAACCCATTTAATAATTGATGTATTGTTTAGCTCTTGATGACACTATGTCAAGTTTCTCCTCTGTGTTTACATCAACAACAACCTTCCCTGAGAACAAACAGTCCTCAGTAATTTGAGCAATAAGTTCCCACAAGTCATTATAAATGAGAGCTGACTCCCAGTGAGCAAACAGGACAGCATTTGATTAAGCTACAGACAATATTGACTCAATCCATCTATCATTCAGCTTCATGTTGAGACACTATGTAAGATGAATGACGTGTTTCAGTGAGTACTCGAGACAGAAAATATGTGTCATCACTTCACAGGTTCAAAGTTTCATAATCCATTTCCTCCCGGGCTCGGTCGTGTTTTATCCTCGTCACGTCTCTGCGACCAGCAATCAGCTGAGCAGCAGAGGTGTCTGTGAGCAGCAGACAGTCACTACATCACCGCTGCTGCAGTGCTGCTGATCGCTGACTCCACTGAAGCGCAGGGGCTGGGGGGGAATACACACGTTATTCTGACCGGCTGCTTTCATTTAGTCCACGCATCAGATTTGTTGAGTGTCTTGTACAGGGTGCGGTATAGGTGAACACCTTTTATGCATTCAGCAAAGAAGCAGACATATTTTCTCTTTTAAAGTGTGAAATGAATGCCGTACTGTGGGCTTGGAGCCTCCATCTCTTTGAGTCTCTCTCACTCTGTCTCTGGGCAAAGATAACTCTGGGAGGTTGCTGCTCCTGTGACCACGGAGAGTTGTAAATGATGCAACATTAATGCCCCCCTCCCTTCATCTCATAAGTTGCTCACACAGCAGTCTCTTCCCTGCTGTTCCTTCCTGCCTAAATGCAGCACCTGCAGGCTGAGTGCCTTTTAAAGGCGGCACCTCACACAGTGATCCAACAGTTTTTCATTGCCATGAAATTGACACTTTGTTGTAATAGCAAGACACAAGGTGGCATTGGAAATCTCTGTCACAGCTTCATTTTTAAAGCGGCAGAAGGATTTAAAAGTCGATCTCCACTTCACTAATCCAAACCTTAAAGTCTATCCTGGTGCGGCAGTAGCTCAGTCTGTAGGGACTTGGCTTCGAAACTGAGAGGCCGGTTCAAGTCTCCATTCATTCCAAATTAGACCAAAAATGACTTAGTGGAGATACCTCCTGGGTAGGTGTCCTTGAGCAAGGCACCGAACCCCCAACTGCTCCCTTGCACCGTTAGCCTTTTCACTACCTGTTAGTTTCTTCATATTTGTGCATATCTGTATTCAGATGTATAAAAGAGTGGAAACTCAGGTAATGTGCTCTTCTTTAACAAGAAAGTGATGAAACAGCAGTCACAGGAACATTTTTACATTTAAGAAACGCAGCTCGTTTGATAAGAGTTGAAGGAGAAGAAGCTAGGAGCTCACAAGCAAGCAACTCTTAAGATTTCTAATGGAAACCAATAGAGACAATGTGTAATTTGTTATAGAATGCAATGTAGATACAATTCAATCGATTGATTGATATTAACTTAGGTCATCATGCTAGTCTTTATGCTAACCTAAGCTAAGCTATTCATCCAGATGTGGTACAGATACTCTATTAAACTAACCAAGAAAGCAACTAAGCTCATGTCCCAAATTTCAAAGTGTGTTATAACTTTAATAGAAAAAATAGAAGTAACTTGATTTTTTTAAATATAAGGTTGGGAACTACAAACGTGCAGTGAAGCGGATCGACGATGGTCACCGGCTCTGCAATGACCTGATGAACTGCATCCAGGAGCGTGCCAAAATCGAGAAAGGCTACGCACAGCAACTGACCGAGTGGTCCAAGAGATGGAGACAGCTGGTAGACAAAGGTATGCGATGTGTCATATTAATTAGCAGGTATTTTTTAAGAAAACATATATTTCGCATTTTATATTAAACTATACCTGACTTACTTCCTTTCCTCCCTCCACCAGGGCCTCAGTACGGCACAGTAGAGCGAGCTTGGTTTGGGATGATGACAGAGGCAGAGAAGGTGAGCGAGCTTCACCAGGAAGTGAAAAACAGCCTGATCAATGAGGACTTTGAGAAAGTGAAGAACTGGCAGAAAGACTTGTACCACAAACAGATGATGGGCGGATTCAAGGAAACCAAAGAGGCGGACGAGGGCTTCAAGAAGGCCCAGAAACCCTGGGCCAAAAAGCTAAAAGAGGTGAGGAAGTGTGCTTTTATCAACTCAGCTTTAAGTTTGAAGTATTTGCCGCCTTCCTATGTCTTATGTGATATCGTACTGAATATTGGTAGATTTTGGACAATTAATTAGGGAGATCAAACAATTTAATATCTTAAACTTTGGCTTAAGGAAATTATGATGAGCATTGAAATCACTTCTGAAATCATCTTTGGCTGCAGCATTACTTTTTTCTAACTAGCAATGGCATTTGTAGTCAATCTGTCTACTTATGTCTTTCTTAAGTTTAATTTGAGTGACTGTTCTTGTTATTTTACTATCCCAATTGCTGGTGTAACACTGCAAAAACCAATAAAGGATTTTTCTATCTGATCTTATGCTTTTGTCTACAGTATTTGTGAAATGTGTAGATTTACTCAAACACTTCGGTGCAAAAAAGGTTATATTTGTTTGTATCATCTTGTTATTTTAGCTCGAGGCTGCCAAGAAGTCCTACCACATGGCCTGCAAAGAGGAGAAGCTGGCGTCCACCAGAGAGGCCAACAGTAAGGGAGAGGCCTCAGCGGCCGCTGACCAGCAGAAGAAACTCTCGGAGAAACTGGAAAAATGCAAACAGGACTCACAGAAGGTGAGAGCATCGACTATCGGTGCTTATTATGCAGGAGCTGTTTTCTACAATTAAGCCAAAATCCACTCACAGGCTATTTTAAGATGTAGAGCTGGTTTCTCTGGGCCGAGTGTTATAAAGGCAACACAGCTGTGTCCAGTGTAGCATTATTAATGTGTGACTGAATACTACACCTCCCCCTTTCCATCACTACTCCAACATTAGCTTCCCTCTTGCCTAAGTGGCTCCGGTCCCATTGAAATCCCTTGACCTTCACACTAGATTCTTTCTTATGCTTTGAAAACCCGTTTATGACACTTGGAAGGTTGTTAGCATTGACCACTGGACAAGCTTGTGTTGTCCCCCGATCAGTGAGATCTCGTAAAATGTCATTTATTTCTGTTAAGTGTATATTTTGTGTGTGTGTGTTTCCACCTAGGCCAAGGAGAAGTATGAGAAGGCTCTGGATGAGCTGAGTAAGTGCACTCCGCAGTACATGGAGAACATGGAGCTGGTGTTCGATCAGTCCCAGCAGTTTGAGGAGAAGAGGCTCAGCTTCCTCAGGGAGGTGCTGTTGGACGTCAAGCGCCACCTCAACCTCACAGAAGACGAAAGGTTTTGAAATGTTTATAAAACTGTTTAAAAGACGAGAAATCAGATAATCCTTTACATGTACTAAATCCTCACTATCATCTTCACAGCTATGCCGCAGTGTACGAAGAACTTGAACGCACTATCACATCGTCCAGCCCGCAGGAAGATCTGAAGTGGTTCAGCAACACTCACGGCCCCGGCATGCATATGAACTGGCCACAGTTTGAGGTAGAGACACAAGACCAATAAGGCATCATCACTATGGGCCCTGCAGTGTTATGCTTTAAACAGTAGGAAAGGAATAGTATGACATTATGGGACATACCCTTTTAGATCCTTGCTCAGAGTTAGATAAGAAAATGTATAAAACCTTCATGTGTGTACCCTTACTATGACGCTAAAGCTAGTCAGAAAGCTTAACATAGCATAAAGAGAGGGAGAAAGGGGAAACATTTAGCCTGGCTTTGTCTTAATTTAACTAATAAAAATGTAATCCAACATCTTGTATATTTAATTAAAGTGTATGTTATGTGGTGGCAGACTCTTGTGAAGGCCTTTTCATTAGTCAAAAATAAAATGTGTCTCCGAATTGTGATTCAGATCCACTACAAAACTGAATAGGTTCTTCCTTTGCCCAGGCTCCAACTTTCAACCAAGTTTAATTTAGATTTTTCTGAAATGCTGCTTACAAACACATAATATAGATAACGGAGATAACATTAAGTAAAGTGGGAGCTGACCATTTTCCAAAAATGTGTAAAAATGTATTGGGTAAAGTTATGGAACAACGTATTGATAAGTGCCAGAAGGCAAGGCTCTCAATCTACGGGTCCATCATTGGTTCGGGCTCCTGGTAAGGCTGCCATAAGGAGGGAAGTTTGGGGCCCTCAGCTGGAAGTGCTACCTCCGCGACCCGACACCGGATAAGCGGTAGAAGATGGATGGATGGTATTGTCAGGGAGCATTATATTGATAGATGTGACTCAAAATATATAATAATTAAACGTGACACACTGAGTGCTACCTGGATTTAAAGACTATTTCCTGTGCAGTGCAAACATTCAAAGCTAAATACGCTGTCTCTTGTTTTTTTCAGGAATACAACCCCGACCTTACCCATAACATTTCAAAGAAAGAAAAGTTGAAGAAAAGCAGCGACGGCGTCATGCTGACCCACGTCACAACAGCAGTCAACCACGCTCAAGCTGAAGACCAGGGGAGGTAAGATTAAACACCATTTTAGTAATATTCTTCATTTTATTTAGCAGATGTTTGCAAAATTCCCAATGCCGAGAGAGATTGTCCATCACCACACTGTCTTTGCATAGTATTTTATTACAAGCAACTTTTGCCATCTTCTTACCACAACACAGTACAACGAAAGTACTGTAATGGTTTTGCAGGAATATTTATTTAAAAATGTATTAAGTGAAGGAAAAACACTGACTGCACACACTTCAACAGAGTAAAACATACACAGTCACAGTTGCAGTCGCAGCAGAGGTAGCATTTTGACTTCCTGACATTGATCGATGTTGCTGGTTAAACTGAGCATCAATGTTCTTCTAAAATGTTTCAGTGTGAGCAGCAACGAGAAGAACCAGGCGTATATGGCCTCCACAGAGTGGTCGGACGAGGATCAGACCGCCCCAGACTCGGGCAACGACACCAACGGAGGAGCGAACCCCTTCGAGGAGGACGTGGTAAAAGGCGTGAGAGTGAGAGCGCTGTACGACTACGACGGACAAGAGCAGGACGAGCTCAGCTTCAGAGCAGGTGAGGGTCCCGTTACTGGAAAGACACTGAGGATTTCCTGCAGCCAAATATACGTTTTACATAGAAAGATGAATCTAGAAAACAGTGAATCCCTGCAACTCAAGCTAGCAAAGATTTTCAAACGAACCTAAGATTTTCAAGAATTGTTCCTGCTGCCATACTGTCTTTATGTTTCATAAAGTCAAACGAAGGACAAGACAAATCTTAAGAGTATCTGTAGTCGTCTTGGTAGCACAAGGTTCTGTATAACACCAATGCCCTATGAACTAGGTTTGCATTTCAATACAGGATTGACTCTCAATCACATTTCCAGTATTTATGCTAAGCTAAGCCGCTACCGAATGAAGCTTAACATGAAATAGATAGATATGAAAGTAATCTATTCCTCATAAGTAAAACTGTTCAGCGTATTTCCCCATATGCCAAACTATTCCTTTCAAAGCACTTTGTACAAAATCAGACACTCACAGACAGTATTTTTGGTGGAATATCACTTTTTATATTCTTGTTGACTGCTATGATTAACATTGACTGAAGTCACATAATCTGTTGTTGTTGTTTATTTCTGTCTCCTCTCCTATGATAAAGGGGACGAGCTGATTAAGCTTGAAGACGAGGACGAGCAGGGTTGGTGTAAAGGTCGCCTAGAGAGCGGCCAGCTGGGTCTTTACCCGGCCAATTACGTGGAGCCGATGTAGCTGCTGGAGGGCAAAACCCAGACTGAACCGTCCAGTCATAACTGCACATTGCCAGAGACTTGAGAGCAAAGCTTCCTTTTCACGTCGGGCGTAGAGAGCCGTCTTCATCTCATCACAGCGAAAGACTTTACTAAATCATCATCCAGATCATGAAACTAAATCATCATCCTGATACTGCACCTGAAGCAAAAGTATTTCAGTCTCTTTTCTGTGTAGCTGTGTTTGATTTCAGATGTGATGCTAACATGCTACACAGTGTGTTCTCTCATCCTGACACTGACACAGTATCGTCAGTCGTGCCTGGATAGCCTGAGCTATGCATTGTGCATTTCATGTATATATTTTAATCTTCTTCTTTTTTTTTACAGCCTGGATGCTTGTACAGTTTTTTCTCATTGAATACAGTGTTTTTTCCTCTCTGTGAAATATGTACACGTTTAAAATTAAAGGAATAGTTTTGGGGTATTTACTTATTTGCTTTCCTTCTGAGAATTTGATTGATACTACTTTCATGTTTGTGAAGTGAAGCTACATCCAGGGCCAGATTAGCTTAGCCTAGCATAAAGACTAAAACAGCTAACCTTGCTTTGTTTGAAAGAAACCAAAAATACCAACCACCTCCTCTAAAGCTCTAAAGTTAACTATTGAAAATGTACTCCAGAGAGTGTTAGGCTTGCAGTTTCAGCTGCTTTAACCTATACAAAATTGTGAATAATCGATAAACAGCAGTTTAAGGAATCATTGCGTCTGGCCAAAAAATATATTTAGCACAAACCCCTCCCCCATTAAACCACAACTGGTCACTTTTTTGTACAAATTAAACAAACGAAAAACACAATTCTATTTAGGAAGTTTCAAAAAATGTCCCAAATTGGGATCAATAAAGTACATCTTATCTTATCTTAAAAACCAGTCTAGTCTAGCTGACTTCCTCATGCTTAACGTCTTTATGCCATGCTAAGCTAACTAGCTATGGCTTCACATATAGTGCACAAACATGAAAGTAGTACTGATCGTCTCATCTTATTCTCGGCTGAATAAGCAGAATAAGTATATTTAAAACTATTCTTTTAATACATGTCGTTGTTTTCCTGCTGCTCTCCATAGCATGACACTGAATTAGCATTATGGACCGAGATAATAGACAGCTCATCATCAGTATAACAAACACACACATTCACTGATCAGAGCTTCTCTTTGAAATGGAAAAATGTCCCCTCCATAACAGAGCAAGAGTTGTTTACACTTCCCTCCGCTGTCACTGATACTGTTAGAACTATTACATTTCATTCTGTGTGTCCTCCTGTTTTGTCTTGATGCACAAATGGACTCATAATAACCCCATGCGCACTGAACAAACCTGCCTGGAAACAACTTCATTTCACATCCTAGGATTTTATTTATTCATCTCCAATCGACTGCTGCAGCTAATTGTTTACTATGAGTGAGTGAGTGATTTGGCATTACCAGCTTCCAGCTCCTGTCTCTCTGATTGTGTGCATGCTGATCCCACACACTGTTAACCGCTCTGGTCTGGACTGATCCAGTGCATGGCCTCAATTTGTTTCCACCAAATTATTCACAGTGTCTTGATGGAATTAAAACCCTTAACAGATGACAATGATGCCATTGATTTGCATTGCATAACATAGTCGGACATGATTGGTCTATTTCAGTGTGTACCAAATGTACATGTCTTTATTGCTTATTTTGTGTTAATCAAAAAAATCAAACTAAGAGTATAAGTGCATGTTGATTGGTTCGTTGCTCCGGGTAACCACAGGTGTTGGTGTAAACTACACCGATGTCGATGAGTAATGTTGGTGTAGTTTTACTGACGCAGACAGAAAAGGCTGCACAATAGAGCAGAAAGAGGATCTGTGTCTGAAATATTGATGAGACAGTGGCCTTTTATTGCTCTAACAGAGAAGTTCACTTTTAAAAGATCCAGTAGGGAAATGTCTCTTGTACTCTGTCTGTGCTTCTGTGTGCTTTTAAAAAAAAATGTTGCTCTTTGTAAGCACTGGGGGGTGAAATCAACATTGCCTTATCAAAATCTACCACCCGACAACTGCAGAGACTCTCAACCATCATGTTAAACAAAGTGAACTCGCCTCGACTGAATCTGACTGCTGTACTCCGGCTCAGTTTACACACCGACACAACACGCAGGACTTCTTCGTGATGACTGAAGATGAGTTTAAAGGTTTAAAAAAGTGTATTTTCAATGTATGGGACTCTTGACAAGTGTACTGTAAAAGCTACAACTGCTGCATCCACTGTGACACTCCTGTGATACACTGAATAACCGTAAATCATATTTAAAAAAACATAAATGCTTCTCTCTTTTCTGTCTGAAAACATTGATCTGCAATGTTGAGGGATCTTTTAGAAGGCTTTATCTTTCTATTCTTAGCATAGTGCTGTTATTTCCAAACTGTAGTGCCTGTTTATCTGCATACGCAAAAAATAAATGATGTCATCAGAAAACTGAGGCATATGAGACTCTTTGCGATTAAAATGTGTACATTTGACCACATTTCAACACATGCTATTGTAAAAAAAATTGGATCCTTTACATAAGTTAATGTGCAATATCACAGTAAGTTAGAAGTCCTGCCTAAGCATGTCAGTCTAAGTATGAAAGGGTAAAGTGTACCTAAAGTATAAGTGGAGTCTTTAAGCAGGGAAAATATTGTGTGACTGACTATTAAACATTATATTATTAGATAATTATTGCTGATGAATGAATGTACCTGTTGTTGTGTAGTTAGATTTCGAATAATGCACCATATTCATATAGTATTATGACATTTTGTATGTTAAATCTTTATAAGTAATGAAATAGTCACAAAAGCTTTCGAATAGATGTAGTACAGTTAAAAAGGACAACATCCCCAATGGAAGTATCAAGTAAAAATACTTTAATTAAAGTACCTAAGGCCTTCCAAAGGTCATAACAACAATATGAGGGGATGTGGGAGCAAAGTAACTAAAGCTTTCAGTTAAAAGTACATTATTCCCCTCTGAAATGTGTTTAAGAAGTATACGTCTGAATGTATAAAGTAGCAACAATGGAAATACAAAAGTCAAAACCTATCAAATCTAACCTGATTGACACCTCAACCTGCCACTAGAGGACAGTAGTAACCTCATTCAGATCATTGTCACATAATTCATCATGTTGTGAGACAGATCCCAACACACACAAATCCTTCAGTATCTTCCAGAGGTAGAAGTACTCAGATCTTGTACTCAAGTCAAAGTAAATGTACCACAGTTTATGAATATTCTGTTAAAGTAAAAGTCCTGCATTCAAAATGTTACTCAGGGAAAAGTGCAAAAGTATTAGCATCAACATATACTTTAAGTACCAAAAGTAAAAGTATTCACTATGCAGATTGTTCAAATTTCAGAATAATAGTTTTAATCACTTTGTATACTGCAGAGTAGCTTGTGAATTTAAGTCTGATTTAAGAGTTGATTGTATTCACATCATTTATCCAAATCTGTTAAGTAACTAAAGCTATTAAATTAATGTTGTGGAGAAAAAGTACACGATTTACCTCTGAATTGTAGTGGAGTAGAAGTACAAAGTAGCAATACATTGAAATACTCAAGTAATAATAATAACAATAATACATGTTATTTATACAGCGCTTTTCTTGGTGCTCAGATCGCTATACAAGCAAGTATAGTACAAGTACCTCAACATTGTACTTAGTACTTGAGTAAATCCACTTAGTTACTTTACACCACTGGTATCATCCAGTGTAATCTACACACCTGCTGCCAGTTAATACACAAGCCAACAAAATTCCCACAATGCCCCAGGACTTTCCCCAACATGAGACAGGTTCATTGATTTCAATGATATTTGTGTGATGTAAAAATGGCAGAAAAATAATCAACTAATACAAACTGCTGTTGATTGCATTACTAGGCTTTTATCTTTTGCATGTCCTGATGTGTTTCTTTATCTTGGAGAGACATCAGCCCTGCAAAGAATAATAACTGTTACTATTTGCTTTCCTGAGAACATTTGGTGTGTGTTTTTCTTTCCCATTGACACCTGAACCAAACAGACACTGACATATTGGCAGCAGTGGAAGCTACAGCTACAATCACCTCTATATCTCTAATTTAGTGGGAATGCTGAGACAGCACGAAATTCATTATTATTCCGCCGGGTTATTTTGCACCTCTTCTTCTCCCACATTCCACATCGCAGAAACTCTGTTCGAACATCAAAACGTTCAGCTCGGTCGAGAATCGATGGCTATTACTCTTGTCATTCATAACTTTCATAATTCCAGAGATATATCCCATAATTCATCACATTTTTAACCATTGAAGTCAATGGAGAAAATCTTCAGACTTGAACAATCTTCATGCGACTTCAACTGCTAACTGTTCCTTCATACTTTCACTCAGAAACCTCATTCCAACTTTCAAATGTTACACATCTTTCTGAGATTATTCGTGTAACACAACTTTTAAATCTGATTCGTACTTTTAGAGATATTAAAACATTGTTCAGACCTTGGTAAAGAGGCCTTCTTCAGAGTGTGTGATGTCACAGCTAGCTCCCTTCATATTTTCTTTTAAACCTGCCATAATTCCCAAACCCTATATTCCTGAGACATAATTTTTCATGAGAAACGTAGGAAAACATCTCGTATCTTGAAAAATAAAAAAAAATTAAGCAAAATATTTAAACAAAATGCCTCTTGAGGGCATGAAGTGACAAAAACTTTCAACATGTCTCCATTACAGTAAACCCCATTGTAAGTTCAGCCTCATCTTTCCCCACCACAGCAGCCGCACACCTTTAGTTAATCTGCCAAAAAGGCCACATTATTAACCCGGAAGTACACAAAAAGTACACTTCAGATGCTCAAGTTCCTTGACATGCTTCACGCTTTGAAATTTCACCGATATCTGTTACGGTTCTTCAACAAAACGTTCACATGTAAGAGGTTTATCTCTCATTCAGAACAATGAAAATGCTCTCCTCTCACTGATTACTGCACATCACCATGGAAACCTTTGATCTCTGGACACGTTAGCTCAAATATAAACACCTGTGTCATGGAACACGATGATGTCATAACTCCAACTGACATGCTCAGCAGACTTCAGATAATGGTTAATGGTCCTGCCCTCAACAGCTCTATGTCAATTATGGGGTGTCATCATATGCAGTTTCCATGGAAATGCATCCCTCGCCATAAAACACGATGTCGCTGTAGCTCCAATGGACACGGTCCGGTCGTCCCACAATCTTCACCTGTATATCACCTCTCTATGCCTCAACAGCTCTACGTCAAATCTGACATCTTTCCATGGAAACGCATCCCTCGCCATAAAATACGATGTTGTCGTAACGCCTATGAAAAGGGTCAAAACAGCACCACACTTCAGATAATGGTTAACGGTCCTGCCCTCAACAGCTCTACGTCAATTATGGGGTTTCATCATATGCCGTTTCCATGGAAACGCATCCCTCGCCATAAAAGATGATGTCGCTATAACTCCTATGAAAATTTTCAAAAAGTGCTCAAACTTCACATGTGTGCTAACAGTCCAGCCGTGAAGACAACTATGGGACAGTTTTGAGATTTCTTCAAATACCGTTGCCATGGCAACACAATGCTCACCATGAAACACGATTTTCTCATAACTTCAGTGAAAATGCTCCAAACGGCCCAAAACTTCACAGGTTTGGTAACGATGCAGCCATCTACGCATCTAAGCGTATTATGGGATGTCATCAAATGCCATTGGCATGGCGACAGATCATTCTCCATCAAGTTAGTTCAAAAGTTTGCAGTTCAAATATTCATGTTATACATGTTGGTTAAATTGTGGAATTTGATCATTGTCTTGAGTTTTAAACTACTGGTGTCAAATTGACCCCAGAGGATAAAGGGTGTAAAGTAAATCTGAGGATAACAGGAGGGTTACATTAATTTAAGCATCACATCACATGTAGGTCTCAATCAACAAGAAGAATATGAACACAGTTTGTGTTCGGGCGGCAGACACCCTATCCGTTTTTAAGAGTGCGCTTAAGACCTTCCTTTTTGATAAAGCTTATAGTTAGGGCTGATTAGATTCAGCCCCTAGTTTTGCTGATATAGGCTTAGTTTGTCGGGGGACATCTTACTTCTTCCTTCTCTCTGTCTGTACCTGTGTACTCTCATGTTCCGATTAACCCAGCTTCCCCAAATGTCTTTCTTTTTGGTGTCTATATACGCCGGGATCCGGAGTCATGGATGATCCTGTTGCTGTGGTCCTGTGTCCTGGATCGTGAGCCCTGGATCTTGAGTCGTGGCTGTGCCTGTTGCTGTGGTCCTGGATGGATATCCTCGTGGATTCATCTTCATATTATACACACATGCCTTTCCAAACATTTGGACTACCTATGTTGCAAATGTATTATCTTTTCAATTTACACACGGCATCTATTGCACGTCTGTCCGTCCTGGGAGAGGGATCCCTCCTCTGTTGCTCTCCCTGAGGTTTTTCCAATTTTTCCCTTTAAACTGTGGGTTTTCTCCAGAAGTTTTTCCTTGTACGATGTGAGGGTCTAAGGACAGAGGGTGTCGTATTGTCATACTGATATTCTGTACAAACTGTGAAGTCCACTGAGACAAATGTAACATTTGTAATATTAGGCTATATAAATAAACATTGATTGATGATATCATATATATAAAAATATATATTTAAAAAATAAGTAGACGGTTTTTTTTAAGCTAAAGTTAATTAATAAGTCAAAAAGTATATGTAGCTACCCATGTGCAATCTTATAGAATGCAATGTAGCATGGCAAATTGGAATTTGAAGAATCTAAAATACTATAATTAAGAGAATGCATAATTATGCGCAAAATGTACTGTGTCACAGATCTGCCATAGTGAGAAAAACAAATATAAAACAAATATATATCAACTTCATGATATACTATTATTATTATTGCAAGGTGTATTCTTGTTACTTATTTTTTTAATAGTTTACACATTTTGATGAACTTGTCACGAATTGTATTATTAAATAATTTTGGAAGCACACAAGGTCACGTCATTCATTACAGCAACCACCAGACTTTGTGAACAAAAAACAGGTGCTCATGTTTCAGGGAGAAAGGCTGGCTGTATCACTAGATCTCATTCCCACAAATTAACAAAATCGTGGGAAAATGTAAGACTCTAAACTGAGGCTAATAGTTCATCTTGTGTGCATAATTAATACATTGGGTAACACTTTATATTAAGGTACACAAATTCACCATCACTAGTTGTTAATTAACATGCATATTGGCAGTAT